TGTGGTACGTCTTCAGGATTTTCTTGCAGCTTCAAAGTTTGATAATCAACACAATGACACTTATCAGGCACTATGTGATAAGGGTCAACGGGGCACCGCTGAAGTTGTCCAGACTGAGGCCTGAAATAGAAATCCTTTTGAGTCGGAAAGTGTGTTAAGTAGTATCAGTTACAAGCGCTTACGCTCCGCATGTCCTTGGAAGTTGAAAACCTTCCAGGCCAGGCTTTAATGCTTGATCACTGATAGTATGACGACAGGTTCGACACTGCAGGGTTATTTTGGTGGCTTTCGCACGAACCTCAAGAAAATGCGATAATGAATAAACATAGATAAAGCAAGAACTAGTGATACCTGAGATGCAGCAACAATAATACCACAAATCTTGACAATTTGTGAGACTTGAGCACTCTTGACTCTACGAATTGAAGTGGGATACTCGTCCAGTGTCAAAGAGATCTAAATACAAAAGAAGATAAAGTTTCTAGGAAAATTAAAAGAAGGAAGAATTTCGTGGGAAATCTAGCACCCCATACCTGGATATCCTTCATTTCCTCTTCCCCTTCAGGTCGAGGAGCTGTGAGTTCATCAGCTACCGTGCGAGCAGCTTCTTCAAACTTGAACAGAAACTTTGTTAGAGTGAAACATTATGAAAAAATCTTAATTTTAAAAGAGAGATATAAAGAACCAACCGCAGGAAGGAATTTTCCTGGGTGTGTGCGGAGCTTTGCTTCGGCATCTTCATCAAATTGTTTTAGATGAGTCATATTGACTTCAAGGAAGTAGTGCTTAGCATTGTAGTTTCTCTTTAATTCATCGCTGAAAAAATCAACTTAACTTCTTCGCGCTAAGAACGGTAGTCAGGCAATAGTCTCAACATAGAGTTAACTCTAAATGAAAAAAAAGAAAGAATGGAGAAAAATAAGTTCAGAGACTCTAAGCAAAACTCTTACCGATAATATAGTCCTCCAATACCACCTGTGGAGAATTCTCTAATAAACCGTCTGAATTGCTCACATATTTGTCGATATTCTGCAATCATTTCACGCCCCGCATCAGGAACTCCATCGTTAGCGAAGAACCTCTCCTGCAAAGAAAAATGAAAAAGAATTTGCAAGAAGAAATTTGCATCAGGTGATTAGAGTCGTACCTGATAATAAAGACCAGCATCATCGAAGTTAGCCATGCGGAGGTAGGATGTTAGTAGCTGAAAAAACTACGTACATATACCAATCCAAATTAATATCAAAATTAAGTAATCTAACTATTGTTAGTTATTATACTTCATTTAGCAATAAAGAACTGCTATTACTAGTGATAAAGAGAAGAGAAATAAAAGAAAACAGCTGTAATTTCGCTCATCGTTTTTCAAACAATGGATCTTCCCGCGTGAAGGATTTTGAATTTCGCGCGCATTTTTGGTATCCGTTAGTGGAGCATGCAATCCGCACCTCACGCAAGTTTATCGAAAAGTCTTTTGCAGCACTTACTTAAGAGCAATGAAATGCTTTTGGGTGTTTTTCATAAGCTGTATAGGCCTTGATAAGAATTCTCAACGAATTGAGGTTGATTAGACCAAAGAAATAATAGAATTAACTTCATAACATTGCAAAGCAAAAAGATGGAATAGACGCAATGATTGAATTGAAGTAAGTAGTGATTAGTTATATTTGATCGGATGGCGGGAGTTTTCATATGTGCAAGGGTGTTATGAAGCTTCATAGAAGGTCAATGAAGTCCAGTGTTAAAGTCAGAATTTGTATTTCAAAGCACCCGCATTCAATTGATATAAGTCTATTAAGCCAATGTTTTATTAGAAAAAACAGTACAGTACTTGTGCTTCGAAAACTCACATTAAACTTTGAAATAGCTACAGATCACCTTAAAAAAGAATCTTATATTGTACCTTCAGTCTGCATAACGCTAATAATTGTACGATTTCAATAAATTAGCTGCAAACTTTTTTCAGTTTCCTCATAATATTTCAGTATGAAATTAGTTATTGAATGTAAATCCAATATCTGCATTGTTCAGACGTTTTGTTGCAGAGTTACTGCAAAGATATTTTTGTTGCTATGGCATTATTTTAATTCTTCTTAGACCTAGGATGAAGTTGAAGTTGGAAAAAATAAATGCATACTTTTCCCCACTCTTTGGTATGACTTGAAGTATTAACTTCCTAGAAAACACAAAAGTCATTGTATTGTGGTGTATTTAGGAATAACCTTACTTTTATTATAGGGTGAGCAACCAATACCTGCTTTTTAAGAAAGATTATTATAATTATTTTAATTATTTTCATCTAAGATTTTCTGAAAATTTGAAAAAAGCTGTTCGACCCAACCATCCTGTATTGCACTAGATTTTTCTTCCGCTTGATAATTCCTTACTCTTTTTTTCCTTTCCTCCAGTCTTTCGCCTTCTATCTATAGACAAACCACGTAAACGCTAAGTTCTACGCATAGGATTTGTAGTAAAACAAGGAAATCATTTTGTTCTGCAATTTGTAGCTTTCAGCCGAATCTCTCTGCCAATCTCAGCTGAAAGAAACAGGGCAGAAAACTGCACCCAACAGAATATTAAGAAGT